ACAAAGCTATAGCTGCTGAGAAGAAGAACTACGATGGAGCCTTTGAAGAAGTCGGACTTCTTTCAGTCCCCAGAGGGGCCAACATAATATCTTCGCACCATTTCTTCCAAGTCAAGACCGATGGGGAAGAAGACAAACTCCGGCTGAAGTGTCGGATGGTGCCTCACGGAAATCGCGACAAAGATAAGGACAATGTTCGCAAGGACTCCGCAACTGCACAATTCCCTGTGATCAGACTGGTCTTGTCTATTGCTGCTGTCTTGAACATGATCATAGGCACCATCGACATTAAGGGGGCATACCTCCAAGGAGGATACCTTTCGAGAGACATCTATGTTCGCCCGCCAAAAGGTTGGGCGGCCCGCCGCATTCTGTGGCGACTTCTAAAGCCTGCTTACGGAATCGTAGAGTCTGGAAGAATTTGGCAGCTGACCATTGAAAGATGGATGTCTGGGCAAGGCATTATACCAATCCCAGGCATGCCGCAACTCTTCTTGAAGTTCGGCGCGGGAGGTACCATTTCAATAGCTATTTGCAAGGTCGTGGACGATTTCTTAGTCGTCGGCTCACGACGAGAAGTCGACGATTTCCACAAAGCACTGGCGAAGCGTTTTGAAGTCGGCCGGTTCGTCGCTGGCCGCCCACTAATCTTCAACCGTCTCCACATCTCCCAGAGTAACGATGGGACGGTACACGTTGATATGAAGGAGTACATGGAGAAGATCAACTTTTTAACGCTGTCCCGAGAACGGAAAAAGCAGTTCCACCAAAAAGCCACCCCCGAAGAACTCACAGCGTACCTCGGATTGGCAGGATCACTGAATTTTCTTGGCCATGGTGTCCTCCCGCAGGCTTCTTTCGCGGCCAGCTATCTTCAGCAAGCTGTAGGCAACCTAACGGTCTCTGACTTGATAACCGGCAGCAAGGTGCTTAAGGAGCTAACGGGCCTAACTCCCCAACTCAAGTACTGTTCTCCCCCGAAGCTCGACAAGGACCCATCGTATCTATGCTTCTCAGATGCGAGCCATGGTTCTACTTCATACGGCCAGACCGGATACCTCTCCGGGATATACCTGCCTGTGGGGGGTGCAGGTGGTGTGTACCATGTTCTCGATTGGCACAGCTGCAAGCAGTCTCGGGTTGCTTTTTCATCAATTGGCGCGGAGATCCTCGCCGCAGCGACGTCGACGGACCGCGGATCACTGATGGCGGAAAGCCTCAAACAGGTCTATGGATCGGAGGTGCCACTACCATTTGTCCTCACGGTTGACTCGCACGGCTTGTATTCAACAGTCACAACGCTGCACGAAGGTACGGACTACCGTCTTCATCCCACAGTTGCACGAATGCGAGACTCCTTTGAGAATGGAGAGATCGCTACGATGCAGTGGATCGCAGGAAAGCTGAACCTTGCGGACGCACTGACGAAGAGGAACTTAGAAATGTTCAAGAAGCTGAATGAAGTCATGCTGAACGGAGTGCTGGACCCTTGTATGTTCGACAAGGCGAAGCGGATCCAGTTTAATTAGCATCTAATCCTCATCAGTTACCACCCGCCTCTTCAGTCGAGAAGAAGGACTGGTAAAAGGCTTCTTCTTTGGTCCGTGGTCCTTTCGCTTGCGTCGCACCTCAGTGGATATTTTCCTCGCACCCTTGCGACGCTTTCTTTTACCTTGAGGTTGCCTTGTAAGGCGGCGAAGCTCGGGAATGCCAAGGAGGTCGACTCCATCTCCGACACAAGCGCGCAAGGTGCCTGAACTCATCCTCAAGGCAAAGCGTTCGGCAGGGTCATAAACAAGCTGCCTCTTGGCGTCAACAACCACGACGTGGTCTATGTCCTCTCCAGAAGAGTCCAGTGCCCCAAGCCTCGCCAAAAAGATCCCGTCTCGTTGGGTGACCAACCATTCCTCTTCCTCCAGTCCATCCGGAAGAGCAACTTTCTCGAGGCGGTAAGCATGCAGCTCTCTCTCCAACCATGCGCCTGCTTGTGCAATGCTGGCTGAAGATGTTGGTTTTAAGGACATCATTTCCATCGCTACCGACTCTCCGGCCAATGCCTGCAGACCATTGCCAATGGACGCTCGAAGGCATTGCCCACCCGGAGAGTAGACAAAGTTACGTATATCTGACCGAAGCGGCACTGCTGCAGACGAGTCGCTGCGAGCACCGGGGCATCGGACTCTGAAGAAGCGATCCATCCGTCTTGTGCACGCTAAGTGCAAATTGTCCAAGTACTGAGCCTGGGCGCGGGGGTCGTAAGAAATTTTCACATTGATCGGGGTGCCACTCGAATTTCTGCAGACCTCCAGGTCAGTGTCAATTTCACTGCAGAGCTCCGCCATCTGGTCCAAAGTCCCCAGGACCTGATGAGACTTCATGGTGTAGAAATCTATTGGCCAGAAGGAGCGAGAACCCCCGCGATCATCTGAGGAGGCATGGTACCCTCGCCTGCCGGAACGTCTATCATCCCCAGAGGCGAATACGATACGCCGAATTGCATACTCATTGTGATCCACATGCAGCTCCATGATCCTTGAGCCCCAATGGCTGAAGAACCCAACATCCGCTAGCCGACTTTCGGAGTGCTCTTGACCAGGACGAACCCCCAACCAAGCCCACATCTCCTCCGAGACCGACCGTGGCAATCGCAAGCTCCTCACCAACTCGTCCTCGTTGACCAACCGAACCTCAGAACCACCTTTCAATTGCGCACGACCGGTCTTACCGTCCATTCCTATAGCCTTGAGCGGCAAACGCTTGCCCCGGATAGTGATCCACCGCGCGCCTTCCATCGCTGGCCTCGCCTTCACCCCTCCGTACCGTGGCCCACAGGCTCTTTTCTCGGTTGCGGTCAGGGTGGTAGCTCAGCAATTGAGGCAAGGCGCAGCGGTAGATACGATGTGCGGAAAGGTCGAGGGGAATCGTACGGAGCGGTGCTGTGGCGCGCGTTCGGAGGTCAGGACGGACAGAAGGGAGTTGGAACGTTCCACGAGGGAAAAAGGGGGTAGGAAATCGTTGAAGGGGAGCAAATGAGGACGCCAACAACTCCAGCGCCGCGGGCTGTTCTCGTAAAGAACGGCCACCGGGTGAGGGCTGGAAAGGTGTCAGGCCGCGCGACGACGGATATACCGCGGCGTCGGCGTGCCTGCCGCGCCGGCCGCCGTCGGTCGTGGCCCGACGGGGGGTGTGTCGTGGAGTTGTACAGCGAGGACAACGCTAGCCCTAAGCGGCCTACAGTGTCCGCGGCGGTGCGCCGGCGGTCCCCGAATACTAATGGAAATATCGGGTATTTATACAAGGGGAAATTAAAGAGGGTAGAAATCCGGAGGGGGGACAACACAGGGGACCTCCGGTGGCTTTGTAGCCGGTAACTTCGCCTCGCTCGATCACCTCCGCTCCACTCCCTCCACTGCGCGCGATCAGGGAAACTGAGCGCCAACATCCTCTCGCGACTAACATTCCTACCGCAGTACAGTACATCGTTGTGCCGCCCGACGGATCACGTGCACCTGCGCGAATACTCGCTGAAGCGAATATTGTTGCTCGCCACAAGGAGGTTCTCAATCGAAAGGGCGATGTGTTTCGTCTTCTTGACAGGCTGAGAGGGGCCGTTCGGAGAGGACTGCTTTTTAGAAGCTTCTACTTGTCTATCTTTCGCGGTTGCTTCGACGGCATCTGTGGCAGATCCTGTCGCGCTTTCATCCGTTGATGGACTCCGCGCAGATGAAGCGATACGGGCGTCCATGACGCAAACCGGTACGACCCGTGCAGTTTGATACTCGTTTGTGCTGATGAAAGAGCGGAAAACCCACTTCGTTTTCCTCCAAGACGGGTCGATCCGGCACTGCTGTGATGAGACGGATGTGAAACTCGTGGAAACTCACATGTCCCGAGTTTTCGGTATGCTGTGAGTTTTGCCAAACGCGTTGTTTCAAAATTTTGCGTTCAGAAAATCCGAGCAAACTCGCCGCCAAAACAAGTGTTTTCGTGACTTTACGGACAACCTTAATGTATATACTCTGTACAGGGGGGGGACTCCCATTAGTGCCACATTTACTAATGCCACCCTCCCAATAATGCCGGCCAGGCCTACGAACACGAAAAGTGCCACGTGTTACACGGGTCCGGGTGTTATGCTGCCGTCCGTCCATCGCGCGTGAAAGCGGCTTCTATGCCCGATTCTATTCACCGAAGAGCGTTCACAGACCTCACCTTGTCCTCCTTATGGATCTGGTTCTGGAAATAAAAAAAGCAACGCGCAAGCGCGCCTGACAATAGCAGAGAAACTAGACATTGCAGATCTGCTCGGCAAAGGACACTGTGCCGAAGCAATTGAGCGGCAGTTTGGCATCGCAGGGCGCACCGTGCGAAACATCAGAGCTACTGCTCCCACATTTTCTCCGCGTAGCCAACAAGAAGCCAAACATCATAAAGACCCTTCAGGCCGTGGGAGTTTTGGGGACTGAATGCCAAGTTTCAGACGCTCTATCGTATCTGAGGTCGGCAAAGCGCGCGTTTCTCACTGCAAAACACGACAGAGATCCAACGCGGAGCAGGCAGACGATAATTAACCGAGTGCGTCAAAAATGGATGTGACGACGTCACCTATTAATGCTGTCTCCCAATAGTGCCAGTTTTGGGGTCTCGCACGGGGCGGCACTAATGAGTAGGGGCCACTGTATATGTTTTGCAAAAAAAAGCTGGCCTCAAATTGCCGGTCGTCTTAGACACGTGCTAAACAGAGAATTGTCTGACTCCTAGATCTGCTTCATACTGTACGCTGGACAGCCCCGCCCACTGCAGCCTCAGATTGGTTATAGTAACCTTATGTAGTACAGTACTGTACCGTTACTGTACCCTTGCTGCTGTACATTCGCCCACCTCCCCGTCACAGCAACCAGGCGTTACTACCGTAGCACCACCACGTCAATTCGGTTAAGTCCGCTCTTCAGTGGCCATTTTTCCCCCTGCAGCCCTCACCGCCCTGATCTCCCGATCTCATGCCACCACACGCGCAGTATGGATTTGAGTGGGGAAAGACCACATTTGGCGCCGAGCCCAGATGGACTCAAGAACCTTCAATTGATGCGCTCAAGGATATCGTAAAAGACGAACTTGGTCAATCCCAAGCTTGCATCGTCACATTTTTGGCTCAAGGGGGATTCAATAAGGTGTACAAAGTACAACATGATGATGCCGAGTATATTATGCGAGTCACACTTCCAGTTGATCCCCGTCATAAGACACAAAGCGAGGCAGCAACCCTCGACTTTATCCAGCAAAACACAGATGCCCCCGTCCCCACTGTCATTGCATTTGACGCTTCAAACGACAATGCTCTTCGTTTCGAATGGATGCTCCTAGAGCACATGCCTGGAAAACCGCTAAGGCAACACTGGAAATCACTACCGCTAGAAAGCAAGCGGGCTTTGGTAAAGCGTATTGCACTTCATGTTGTCCAGCTATTCCGTGCCCGAATCCAAGGCATAGGGAACCTTTATCACTCCGCCACGTCCCGAGATGACGCTGTTGACCAGACAAAGTTTCGAGTCGGCCAAATTGTGTCGAATGAATTCTTTTGGGATGATCGCTCAACCCAAGACTTCCCCCGAGGTCCATTTCGTTCAAGCCGAAGTTGGCTACACGCCCGGTTGCTTGTGCACCGTCACGAAAGCAAGGACATTATTGAAACGTCGAGAGATGAAGATGATATTGATATGGCAGAGCAGGTCGCTATACTGGAGCGAAGACTTGCCGCGCTTCTCCCTTCAATTTTTAAATTCAACCTAAACCATGAAGTGGAAGAAACAGCCCTCTTTCATGATGACCTCTCTCAACAGAACATCATGGTTGATGAGGACGGGAATCTTACTGCAATTATTGACTGGGAATGCGTGTCTGCATTACCGTTATGGAGGGTATGTCAAATTCCATACTTTCTTCGGGGAAGAGAACGAATGGAGATGCCAAATAGAAGCACATACGCTATGGACGAAAACGGGCTGGCCGAGGACGGCGAGATTAACGAGGTGTACGTGCAACATCTTCTTCAGTACGAACAGACTGAACTGCGGAAAGAGTTTTTGAATGAGATCAAGAATATCGAGCCAGCTTGGTTTGCGATTTATTCGTCTGACTTGAATTTGAGAAAGGCAGACTTCGAGACGGCAGTGAATTACATTGATGATGAATTCTGCATCAAGCTTATCTCTAAATGGCTGGATGACGTGGCAGCCGGGGAAGACGTCCCGAGTTTACAGAAGATGCTTCTGGAATAGGTCTTGAAAATGTTCCTGTCGATGAGCGACATGAATTTACGATGTTTCGTCTTAACTACGAATCCCGTGTTCATCGCATGTGAGGAGCGGGCTATTTGGTGTTGACATAGCTGAGATTAGCATCGCTTCAGCATAGCGAACATCCCAGGCCTTGTCGTTCTATGCTCCTATCGCATTTGAAGCACGACAAGAGCAATTGTGAGAGGCTAAAGTTTGCAGTTTTCCTGCTTGAGAATGCGCCAAAAATGATAGGCCCCGGGGATGACGACTCGTTTTCCCGCAGGAACTTTATCTCCCGACTATAGCGCATAAGTGAAGAAGAACACACGCTGTCTCCTTTGAAGACCCGAAATGCGCGAAGTCCTTGTCGATGCAAACCAGATAGACGCCCAAAGCTTCCAAGGAAATTTCCCAACAGCGAAATATGTTTACTCAGTCTACATTGAGTACACAGGAAATGTGATTGAGAGATAGAAGACGAATGAATGAAGCACACCCCCGGACCTCAACATACAAACAAGCCGTTACAAGTGAAACAGTGTCGATCACTGGCAGAACAGGGAACAGCGCAGTTTGGTTTACTTGCAGGCTGCGGATAATGAAACTAAAGGTCTAGAAGTGGAGGTTTCTCCAAATCTTAGCATTACTCTTGAAAGACGCTTTGATAGTGGCAGCAGACATCGCTGGATCAACAGGAGCTAGAACAGTCGAGACCGTCTTAGATTTGAACTTCTTCAGGGTGCTGATCTTGGTACCATTGGTAATCTTAATCTGAAGGTTGTACATCTTCGGAGTTTCAGAAGTCAGCTGTGATACAACACGATGAAAACAATTGTTAGTTTTAGAATCCCGTAGAAATAGTATGAGCCGAACAGACAACAAACTTACCCCCCCTGAATACAGACGAAAGTTCGTGCTGTAAAATCGCCCGGGTTCTGACGTATTCCCGTGAGCTTACTGTCAGGGATGTTGTCGATGAAGTCGTACAGAGGTTCCCTCCCTAGACCCATTGTGACTGTGAAGATAGAAGTTCCCGGATGCGTGAAGACGTGATACGGTGTGAAGACGTGATACGGTAGATTTGCAGGCGTAATAAATAACGCCAGGAATTACAAGACCTTCACACAAAAGTTCAGGATGCGGCATGCTGATTTCCTCAACTCTGAGCGAATGAATGAGTCCGCATCTCCTCTACCCCGTCAACGTTTTAATCATGCCTTTTGGTTTCGAAGATATCAACACAAAACGTTTTGAGAGGTTGGTCAAACAGGCTTCTTTTTTAGGCATTCTAAAAATGGCTGGAAAACGTGCAGATCTAATCCTTCCGCAACGCACAAGTCAACTGCGGTGGCGCGAGTACCTTTTTCTTTCTTGCTGCAATGCAAGGAGCAAGCACAAGTCGAGAAAAATTAAGTTGAAAAGTAGCCTGATACTAGATCACTTGTCGTCTAGACAATAGAATGCATAGGACCCGTAGCCTCATACAAAACCACAGAGGCCACTTCTCGACTCAATGCTGTGCACCAGTACAGTACAACAACCGTGGAAGAAACGACTAATGCAGTGCAAATCGAGTTTTAGAGTAGGAATCTCCTTAGGAGTGTATCTGGTTAGGAATGCCAACACAGTCGGCATGCTGAGCGTCCCCGTCGTCTTTTTCCAGACGCACTTGGTTGCGCAGCCGGGGGCTGTCCCTAGCATGTCCATGTCTCTGCTCTCACAAGGGATCAAAGCGATGGCTCATCGCTGTTTGGGTGCACGAGTGATAATCGTCGGTGTGATATTCCCTTGTTCGCGCCATACAGTATTTCCTTTACACTAAAACAATGGTTGGCAATGAATCCCTGCCCGCCATGACCATTACCTCGCAACGCCATCACCCTTCTCAAGCGCACCAAAGCCCTGGATTCGGGTGCTGTAGCTAGCTGGACCAAGTCTCTGGCATCCGCAGCATATGGTGCTCGAGTGCGAGAAGCGAGCCGCTGCGTTGTACAATCAAACCTCTCCATCAGTTGGGGCTGTTCTAGCCCCACCATCCACGGGCACCTGCTTTGTGTGGGACAGCCACACGCTCCTTACGTGCCTCCATGTCATCCAAAGCACCGAGCGCCCCCAAGTGGCTCTACCATGTGGCACTGTTTTGACGACCTCCATTTCACACACATGTGCATCACATGACATCGCCGTGTTACGCTCGGCCAATGCACTCCCGACACCCTTGCCATGTTCGCCGAGTCCGGCACGCCCAGGTCAGTTGGCTTTCGCTGTATCGGCAGCTGAACATTCACCTCCGTCTTTGACAGCGGGCGTGGTCTCAGCGGTGGGACGAGTCGCTCCTGCGCCGAAAGAAGGTGGGCCCACGCTCTCCGGCCTGGTGCAGATCGACGCGTCCGTGAATAGTGGCGCTTCGGGCGCCCCCGTGCTTGACTCGGAAGGGCGGTTGCTCGGAATGGTTTGTGCTATCGCCAGTGAAAGCGGTAGGTTCGAAGGTGTCGCCTATGCTATCCCAATTGCGGAACTAGAAAGAGTCGCCAACCGACGAATGTCAAACATGTGACGCCTTACCTTTTCGAAAGAAGGCACCTACAAGGAGAGGTGAGAATGGCCCGACGTTCTGCTTCTCTAGTGGTGAGTCCTTCACCGAAGAGATAAGCAATCCCTCATCAAACAATCTCTGTCATCAGGGTCGCCCTTTCATCACTCTTTCCTGGAGATGAGCCACACTGCTTTCATCAACTCGCTGCTTTTCTGTTCGTCGAAGATGTCTCACCCGCACGACCAAATGAAGCTTTTAGCACATCTTCTAATATTGTGATATCATCTTCACCGCTCCAGCGAATAGCAATAACGATCCCATAGTGTTCCATGAGCATGTCCCACTCCTCGATCTCATCGAGATGCTCAATTCTATTGAGATTAAGAGCTTCCTCAGTGGAAAACTTGCGCTGAAAGCCTTGCAGCATTGTCAACGCCTCTACGCAAGGCCATCCTTCTCGTACGAATCGACTTTTCTGCGCGGCCAATGTCGGATATTTGCTGATCCCCAAAAGTGGACTCCCTCTTGCCGCGATATTTTTTACCATTTGCAAGCCGAAAGAGTCATGTGGATGCGAATGTTCGATATTAACAAAAGCTCTTTCTCTTGTAAAAAAATGCCCAATTTCTCTGATGACGGCATCGGAAATGACAGGATCCAGATAAACCAACACAATCTCTGCAAGAATAATGGTGGGGCAATTACACTTTAGTCCCGTAGCTCGAAGTACGTCCGAAATCCGAGGTGTATCTCGCAAGTCGAACGCACTTAAAACGTAACGCGATTGCGTTCCCCCTTTTACGATGCCTTGAAGACTTTCTCCGTCGGTCATGATATCCCTGAAGAGTCCTCGCAGAACCAGCTGAGCCTCCACAGCCGCAGCTTTGGCTTGGACAATGGGGGCGAAATCAAGCTCTACATAGTGCAAAGACATTTTCGTCATACTTTGGCCCATTTCAAAAAGGGAAAAAGGAAGGGAGTCGTACCCTGCACCTAGAGAAACGATCTGAACAGTTTCACTACTTGCCCACGCTGCTCCAAGAAGTGCATGAATCAAGTCGCTCTTGAAGGCGACGCGGGCTGCTGTGCCGCGGTTGATTAGAGGCGGACGAGATGGTGGCGCTACGTCATCACGCAACAAATGAGAAGCTAAAGCGTCCAAGAAAGCATCCTCGAAATACCCAGCATGCATCGCGCAATACTTTGATTCAAGGGCGTCGTCGTTCGTTGCCCGCACAGCAACATCTGAGTCTGCAGTCTCCACAGAATGTCCTTGGCGTGAAGCACGGGGATGCATTGCGCAGCCGTCGATGATGAGCCTCAATGCGAACGCGTCAGGGACATGAGCAAGCAGCCCTTGGACGTGTCCGCTTCAAACGGGGTCCTCGCTGGTTGAGTGACAGTTGGCGAAAAGCTTTGAGTGATGCAAGACGTAATGTATACATCTCCCGACATGTTTTATGACAAGTATTTCGCTTTCGGCAGATTAGAGCCTTCTGTACAGCACAGGGTTGGAGCCGGCGATACACAAGAAACAGCCATTCTTGTGATATTTCAGAATTTCCGCCTGATGGATTTCTGCAATTGCCTTCTGAGAAATTGTCCATGACTACTGTAGAGGGTTTACCCTTCCCCGAAAGTATAATTTGGCAACCTTTTTCATAAATTAACTTAAAAAACTACTTCCCTTTGCCCAAATGAGGTCAGACTGGTGGTGATGGATGCTCTGCCTTTGCTGACCAACTGGGAGGAGATACAGAATCTTTAGCCGTACTGGGTCAGAGAAACCCCGAATTTCCTTTCGCCAGTGCGGCAATAAACAGAATTTTAGAAAAAGGTCTATTTGGTAATCTAATAAGCACCAGAGAGAGCGTATAACTCGGACACGTGTACCAAGTGTCCGCACTTGGTTTTCCTCAGCGGCATGCTTTCATAGGAGCAACGAGAACTGAGTTCCCAAATTAACCTTTTTTACCAAATCATGCTTTTGGGGAAGGGTACGCACCTGGATTTCGCTAATTGTAATTAAGTTGCGGATATTCTGTTGCTGCAAGTGACTATTGATTGTGAAATTTGATCAAATAAAGGGGGGTGTCCCCTAAATGGTACATAATTGAAAAAATAAATTCAAATTATGAAGCACGTGCCCATTTGGAGTGGTTTTTGTCTCATACGATATGCATTGTAAACAGTCATCCGTGGTCGTGTTCCTATTTAAGGCTTCTGTAAGGTCAAAGACGTTGGACAACAGAAAATGTTAATCAGTAAAGCACCCGTGTAACCATTCCCCTCTTAATTCGGCAACTGCTCTGAAAATTTTGCTCAAAGCACGCCAAAAACCCGATATCTGGGGAGCTACCCCCCGAACTCTAGCCATTTAAATATTGGCATAAAGTGCAGACAAGGCTCTTCACCATATCAGAGAACCATGGATGAAGCCTGAACTAAGCGAGAGCAAGAATTTCACGAATAAGACCATTCATACAGCTCAGAAAGCACGTTTTGCCTAATCCGACAAGTCACCACAGCGCCGCGGCCCGTAAACTTTATTGAAACTTTGTATGCTGATTTGCGAGATTCATAGAGATTTACTCCATCACAGAACCTTCCGGGCGCCCCTGGCACTCTACATTGAGTCTCCGCGTCACTCGGCGCTCGTTGCGTGTCGAAGTCAACCGTTGGCGCAGAATATCACGCTGAGGCGCAAGAACTACCAAACGTCTGATATCTGCTCTTGGTTCTTTGTAACCAGCCTGGGGGATAGAACTGTCTTTTTTTCCTTGAGCCAAATTTCGCCTGTTGTCCTCTCGCCTTTCCAAAGCTGAGATAACTGCTTCTGACGTCAAATTGACTCCGCCCGTAGTTTTATGCGAACACGTCCGTTTTCTTCTACATCAGCATCCCTTAATAAAGTGCGGTGCTTATTTCGAAAAGATAGCAGAAGATCTTCGACTGAAACTCGCGCGCCGACATCTGTCTTCCCTTTGAAAAGCGTTTTGAGAGGGTCTATGTTCGTGCTAAGTAAACTGGGATCCCAAATGCCAGTTCTGTAAAAACCTGAGCAAATGTTTCCTGCCGTGTGTGACTTACTGGACGCATTTCGAATGCAAGTTCCAACATCGAAGGCATCCAAGCACGGTTTTTGACAAGAGGCCCTGTGCACCTCTTCCTGTAGATAAGACTTGTACGCACCAAACACTGATACATCAAGCGGCTGGCTTACATGGGATGTGTGCGAAGGCAACGCTAAAACTACAACGTTGTTATCGAAAAGCATCTTCAGGGATCGGTACTGGACGTGTGCCCCGTAACCATCCAGCACTAACAGGATTCGCTGGTTGTTCTGCCTCAAACATTCTGTCTCCGAAAGAAATCCTTGCGCCCAATCGTAAAATATAGCAGAATCTACTCCTGCAGGGTCTCGCTGATAGAGGTAGCATGGTGGGAGAACCGAATGCAAAGACTGTTTCTGACCATTAACCTTCCGATAATGAGCAAGCTTCCCGGGATACACGAGGGCAGGTTTGTAAGCAACGCCGGCGGCCGAAACAACCGACATAATTGTAACGTGATCAAGGTTACCCTTTGTCTTCACGGACAGTTGAACCACCTTTCTCGCACCACTCTCAGTCACGCCCTTACGTAGACTGCGACCCGTCATGCGGTAGAGCGAGGCTCCGGACTGGTCAGTGTTGAAAATAAATCTTGCTTCCTTGATATGATACCTGTCCATTGCCGATTGAACACGTGCTAGATGTTCAATGATGTTCTTCGGTGAGACGGCATTCACACGTTTATCCTCAATGATTTGGACAGAAGTGTATTGAAGATTGTGACGAACCATAAAGTCATCTATCCAGCTGTTGGATGGCCTATTTTCGGTGAAATTGACTTGCTGTTGACGCGCAATTGATAGCATCTCAACATAATCTTGCACCAAGTCCTTCACAACAGAGCGAGAAAGCGGTGTGTTGTTTTCAGCATATTGTGTTATAGCATCTGTGATCACCATCTCTTCTTCAAATGTCAGCTTACAAGGTCGGCCTGGCGATCGACGAACAAAATGTATGTCAATCGATGATTGAGGTCGAAACTCAGGATATTCAGCACTCCAGAAATCGTAGGACCGGCGAATAATTCCACTGCCGACTCTGTACTTAGTGGCGAGCTTACCCCATGGTGTTGTGCTTTCAAATCTCTCAAATATTGCCTCCTCCAGGCGGTATTCATCAGCCATGGTGCGGCTAAAGATCCCACCGCAGATTATGAGATGCAGTTGCAGGAAAACAAAAAATGCGAATCTGAAACACACTCATGAGTCTACCGTTATAAAGTGCGCGCATTCTGATCGTTGAGTAAAAACGCGGGAATCAATTCGTGTTTCGGTGCAACAAGAGATATGGCGCGGGAACTCCAATGTTCGCGAGGCTCTGAATGTGAAAATGTGGGATTGTACTGTACCTTGAGGCTTGTCGAATTAGCAGAAATTTGTCGAAATAAAAGGGGAATGGATATAGTGCATGCAATAATCTTAGGGCCATGCAGCTATTGGTCTGTAAAAGATGCAAACGTGCATATATCAAAAAAGGACCAAACCAGGTTGTCAAAAGGGACCTTTTCAGATGAAACCTTTAAAACAATTGAGGCGTTACACAGCAATTTGGTATTTATGGGTGGCAAAAAAGGTAAGGGCATTTAAACGTCAGCAGTTCTCAACGTTACCTAGTACTTTGTTGGGACACCTTTGGCAAAGCAACAATCTAAGATTCCCCTCTGCATTGAGTCTTAGACTCAAACTAGGTTTTGCAGCTCCTCAGGACTTTTTTCATCCCATGCTGCCAGTACAAACTCGCGTAGCTCCACCAAGTTCTGAAACTGCCTCTGGTGGGCGTAAACCCATCGTGCCAGTATCTGTTGGTACTGTAGGCAACCTCAACACAGACAGGACAGTATTTTCAGCATGGGATGTGGTACTACGTAATAGAGGTACCACATAATAGAGGTACTACAGGATCACAGTCGACTGTCTGGTTGCATGGCAAGCAGACAGTGGACCACCTCTCTAGCTGAGATAATTAGTGCACTCTCCTCCTCGGGTTTTGTCAGCACTGCCAGTAGCACTTAAGCTCCAGCAGCACGGCTGCACTTGGTAAAAGCGGTGACATGCTCTGTGTGAACAACAAGTAAAAGCACAGACAAGGAAACGGACATGGTGTAACCACAATAGGTTATGGGCCGACGCTAACGCTGTATCTTTTTGGTTTCGTTCTCCGCTGCGAGTGTCCCATTAGAATTTGTGTACGTCAATTCGTTCGGCTACAGTATGGCGGATCAAGTGGATACCGTCGATACCAGTAGGTACCGAATTGAGAAGCTGACGTCCTCCAACTATTTCCTCTGGTCGAGGAAAATGGAGATTGTATTGCGAGGAAAGGGACTATGGGTCGTGGTATCAGGTGAAGAGCGAAAGCCATCTACAGGTAGTTCGGAAGCCGTCGCGAAATTTGAACGCAGACAGGACGTGGCGCTCTCTTACCTACTGTTGACCATTGATGACTCTGCAAGCGCCTGGGTCATAAGTCTGCGTGATCCCAAAGTTGTTTGGGACACACTGGAAGCCATGTACAGTGTCATTTCCGAGGCATCAGTCGATGCGTACCTGTCCAAGTATCAGAACGTCAAAATGGAGCCAGGGGAGAAGGTAATGAAGTACTTCAATCGACTGAGTGAAATGGAGAACAAACTGGCTGCCGTAGGACATATCGTTTCAGAAAAAGAAAGAAAGAGAGCCCTTCTACGAGGCCTATCGGATGATTTCAAGGTTTCAAGAGAAGTCATCCAAGTCACAGGCAAAGGAATATCAGAGGCCATATCTCAATTGGTTCTCCGAAAAGTTGAGATGGAAGGTTTTACTGAAGATACTGCAGAGAAGTCAACTGCATTACAGTCTATGCAGAGAACAAAGCGCAGTTTTGCCTGCCACTTCTGCAAGCGCAAAGGCCATAAGAAGTACGAATGTTTCGACAATCCTGATAGTAAGAACTATCGTCCCAGGAAGGGCGGAGACAAATGGCGGAACGTCCGAGGATTCAATAAGGCTCGTACAGAAAACCGGAATGGCTCTATCTACAACGACGAAAGTGATGCTGGCACCGGATATGTTACCTTTCTTTCAGCATGCACAGCAGCTAAGAAGGGTAATGTTGAATCGGTAAAGGACAGCTCGTTTATCGACTCCGGAGCGACATCTCACATGACCAACAATGCATCACTACTGGTAAACATGGATCGTACGAC